TGTGATTAACTGAGGATTGACTTGTAGGAGGGATTTGATTTGTAGAAGTTTGGTTATTAAGTGAAGTGGCTGATCTTCCATTAGTAACTGTGTCAAATAAAGAACCAGAAGCAACAAAATGTTTGTTGAGACAGTTCAGGATCTCGTGCTTATTTGACACAGGAACAGAGTTAATGAGAAGTTGTGATGGGAGGTCAGATGATTGGGGGGTGCCTGAGAGAGATTTGATGGTTTTCCAGAATCTGTTAGGGTCTTTTAGATTTTTGGAGGTCTGAGATAAGAAATAGTTGCGTTTTGCTGCTTTGATGGAAGTTCAGGTCTGCTAGATCAGGAGTAAATGTGTAAAAAAATAAATATTAATAATTATTATTAATAATAATGATAATAATAACTATTATTATAATAAATGCTTTATTTTATGATTGTGTGCCGTTGTCTTTGTTGTCATGTGTGTTCTTTAAAGAAATCAGGTGTCTGTTGTGAATGAGTCCCCGTGGCTCAGTGAGACTAACCCGTGTCAATAAAGGTTGAAGGAATGAACAGAATTTTTTAGTCAGACTGTTTTTCATGCTGAAAACGTACCTCGGTACTGACTGCTTTTCTTTCTTTCTTTGTGTTTGTTGTTTCTAAGGCGTCCCCTTCAAGCGTAACTTCATGTCTGTGGCCAAGACGATTCTGAAGCGCTTGTTCCGGGTCTATGCGCACATCTACCACCAGCATTTTGACTCCGTCATGCAGCTGCAAGAGGAGGCCCACCTCAACACATCCTTCAAACACTTCATCTTTTTTGTTCAGGTGAAGAAACTCTGACACCGTTCAGACCTGCTGTTAGAATGTGTCCTGGGTGATCTGCAGCTGCATGTTCTAAATACAGATGTGAAGGAACTGCTCCGTGTTAGTTTGGTAGGCTGTTCTGAGGAATGCTGTAGGACCTCGTAGTAAACTGACGTGACCCCACACACGTTTTACTTGGATGTCTTGATTAAAATCGTCTTCTCCACCAACTAGCTAACACGACTGGCTGTGGGGACCCCAGAAGAAGAAGAAGTGTGAATGTATAGTAATTTGTGCAGAAACCTGTGTGTGACATCACATCGCTGCAGGTGCAGCTCAGTACCTCTGCTGAACTCAGTTTAGAGCTGACCACTTTGGACCAACTCAAGCAGAGCACGTTCGAACGCCACCCACTTGTGACCGAGGGCAGTTTCCATGTTGTGCATTAAAAAGACGTTCGTGTTGTGAACGTGTTTGCTTCTGTGTTTTCAGGAGTTCAACCTGATCGACAGAAAGGAGCTGGTGCCGCTGCAGGAGCTGATTGAGAAACTCACCACTAAGGACAGATAAACAGCCACGCTTCATTTCACCGTTTAGTTTTGCACAGATGCCCATCCCGCCCTGGCTCTATGTATGCAGTATAATAAGTAGATTTCCATTCGGGGAGATGGTTCTAACATCGCCAGGAAGAAACAAGGGTTTGCATAGGTTTAAGGCACCAGGACTCATTTTTATCAGGGATTACAGACTTGTTTAGGGAACATGAGATTTACACTAGAGAAAAAACACTTCGGTGTTCTGTCACAGTTTACCTTTAGGATAAGAAGACATAATCTTTGTGGATGTTATACTGCACTTTTTATTTCAACTTTATTTTGAAAACAGCATTTCCATGCTCATTCTCACATGGCAGAACAATGTGTAGTCCAGGTTTCTGTATTATAGGGTGTTGATGGTGGTATGGCAACGTCTGAAGCCAGTTAAATAGTTTTGTGTAAACCAGTATCAGCTGTGCTTTGATGCTGGAATTGCCATGAATACAAACCGCAGACCTCTAAGTGCCTGGCGTGGCTCGTGGTTGCTCTCTGTCCACAGTGAGAAGAGTCTGAAGAACACGCCGCCGCCTCCTAAAACATCTGGAACTTGGTGAAAACATAGAAGTCAACTGTTTAGTAAGCAGGTGTGTTTGCAGTGTGCACGTTCTGATGAAATGAACGTGCTGAAACGTGTTGAAGGTCACAACCTGTTGTAGCGGGGACTATTATTCAACGTGTACTATCATCTCATGACATGTCTTCTAGTGGCCCCCCTGCAAACTTTCAAGTACACAAAAGTTTTTGGACATTTTCCAGGGATGTAACCATTTAAATAGTGTGTGCTGAGCTAGATGCAGAGTGAAACGTGGTCCCTTGTCGTCTGTAGGCATGAAGCACTTTGATCAACCTTCCTGAATGTTTCCCCTCCAGATGCTGGAGTCTGACCAGCTGTGTCACGAGACTGATCACTGGTTTTGAACCCTACAACCTCCCACATGAATGTTAAATGACCAAACACAACTGAAGTTTTTCTTCTGCTTAGTCTAAACAGCAGACACGTGCCCCCCCATGTCAAAGTTTAGTGTGCTATGCAATGACTGACCCTCAAAGATCAGCAGCTGGCTCTTTATCCATTAACTTTCCTAATAGTGCTTGAATTTGGGTGTGAAGAAAGTAGAAACGCTCGTGTTTCACATTTAAATTTGGAACCGGTGACGTGAACGTTTTTTACGTCGCTGCTCATCAGAGATGTATCCTCTGATGAGCACGTGTACATACTGAGAAGTGACTGATCCTGAGAAGATAGATTTTCAGCAAGCATGGAGTGTTTGGATGAAACGAATGCATGAAGTCTTTTTGGAGGCTGCTTCATTTGGATATTCTAAACCGTTACGCTGTTTTTGTATAAACTGCTTATTGTGAATGTTACGGCTCACCAGATATCTGAACTGCTTGGAGAACATGCTCAACCAAACCTGTTGCCTCCACTTCATCCTGTCATTTTACTTCATGACATGTTTGTAAATAGCAACTTGATTTAGTTTTCAGTGAATACATCGACGCTGTCTACAATAAATATGCTCTCAACTCTCAGTGAATTCTATCTTCATTTATACTTGTGGTCAATTCAACTGTGTAAAAAAACAACCAGAAACATTGCCTTCTATTTCTTTGACTTTTCAGCTGTGGTTTCATTTTAAAGCAAAAATGCTAATAATTCTCATTTACAGTGTAAAACTGATGCACCAGTTAGAACCAGTTTCACAGTTTAAAAATGTGACTGGGTGATGATCAACAATTTTCTGATACTTTCGGTCATATTGATGCCTAAACACACTTGATGCCATGTTTTGGACTTTTCTTGTGCTAAAACTAATTTTGTTGTGAAAATCCTTTATTAGAGTAATTACTGAGTGATTAGTGATGAAATAAGATTCGACAGTTTACGTCCTGCTAACATTCAGTAAAGAGCTGCACACTTGTAATGTGTTGCAGATGAAACCTTCACTAACCTCACTGTATTCACATCGGCACGCGTAAACATGACTGGAGCTGGTATGGCACCAAATGTTTAACCCAACAAATACACAATTTCTTTGGAAATAATGAGGTCATTGAGAATTTGATGACAGCAGCATATCTTGATATATTTGGAAAAGGGACAAAAAACGGTGGAGGACTCACAACGGAGCATTTTCCACTTAATTCCCGGTAGTTTCATAGACGGCAGGTGTGTAGAGGCCTGGATGTTTCAGAAGTCAAGATGAGCAGAGGTTCACCGGTCTGTGAAAAGTTTTAAAGAACTATTTCAGAACCTTGACTGCAGATTACTACTGACAAAATGGAGATGCTGCTGGACCCCAGGTCAGATGGAGATCACGTCCAAGTGTATTAACATGGACATGTAGTCCCCTCCAACAGTTCTGGAACAGCAAGGCAACAACAAAAAGTACTCTGAAGACGTTGGGGTTTAAGATCCGAAGATGAGCCCGAGACCAGAGTTCAGAACGTCGGCTTTTATTCCTGGTAGTTCCACGTGTTGAACAGCTCGGGGCATGCCATCGCTTGTATTACACCACAACATCCCGAGGTGAGCACAAGTGAAGGAACAAAGGATCTTAAAGTGAATAATATTTAATACTTGGTGTGGTAGCTCTTGCCTGCAATGACTGAACCTGCGACCCATCATCAAACTGGTGCGTTCTTCATTTGTGATGCTGTTCCAGGTTTTACCGCAGCTTCTGTCACTTCTTGTTTGTTTTGGGGGTTCTCGCTTCAGTCTCCTCTTCAGGAGGTGAAATATTCTCTACTGGGTAATGGTCAGGCCATGGACTTGGCCAGTCTAAAACCTTCCACTTTCTTCAGCTGGGGAAGTCTTTCTTGTTGGCAGTGTGCTTTGGCTCTTTGTTCTGCTGCAGGATCAAATCCCTCCTGATTGGTTTCGAGGCATTTCTCCCTAAAAACTGTTCCTGTACACTTGAGAATTCATTCTGCTGCTATCATCACTTACATCATCAATACATATTAATTAATGAGCCTGTTCCAGAAGCAGCCATGCACGCCCAAGCCATGACATGACCTCCACCATGCTGCACAGATGAGCTTGGAGCATAAGCACTTCCTTTGTTTCTCCACACTTCAGCCTGTCCATCACTTTGGTAGAGATGGATCTTGCTCTTATCAGATTGTGTCCAAAACATTTGCGGCTCGTCTCTGTTCTTTGCAAATTTCAACCTGACCTTTCACTTCTACTGATGAGTGGTTTGCATCTTTGGCCTCTATATTTCTGCTCTGAGTCTTCAGCGAACACTGGATTGTGATACCTTCACCCCTACACTGTGGAGGTCGTTGGTGATGTCACTGATGTTTTGGGGGTTTTCTTCACAGCTCTCACAATATTTCTGTCATCACCTACTGTTGTTTTCCTTGGCCGACTTGTTGATTGCTCAGTTCACCAGTAGTTTCTTTCTTATTCAGGACATTCCAAATTGCTGTGCTTTATATGTCCGATGTTTGTCCAATGGCTCTGATTGGTTTTCCTTATTTTCTCATCTTCAGAATCACTTGTGTTTCCCCTATAGATAGCTTTCTGGTCTTCATGTGTGTGTATCTTCTTTAACAAGAAATACCTACTTCATAGGTTTAAACACAGGCCACAAAGTAAACTAGTCATGCAGAACTATTTAATGTTTGAACAATCATGGTAAAGGCAACAAGAAACACCTGTCAGTCACATGTTCAGGTCTCTTGTAAAGTCCCCGAGGCTCAATGGGATTAACCTGTCTAAATAAAGTTGAATGAATGTTCCAGTAGTTTTGCACACTTGAAAAATGGGTGATATGTCCTGAGTTGTTCAACACGTCTACATGTAAATACCAGGAAATAAAAACTGACATCCTGAGCTCTTGCCTCGTGCTCATCTTTGGATCTTAACCCCAAATGTCTTCAGTGTACAACAAAAACTAAGGAAGTTGCCTTGCTGGTCTAATACTTTTGGAGGGGACTGTAGCATCAAGCAGGTCAAGGCATGCACATATCTGGGAGTGGTCATTCATAATGACTTGTGTCCTGGCACGCACAAGGACACGAGTCACGTGTAATCCATCAGTGTCTGCATTGTCTCCCCCCACCTAGTGTTTGGAGTCTGATCAAATACCCAGATTTTTTTTACGGAGCAATCATTGAGCCAGTTTTAAGATGTGGTATTAGCTGTTGGTTTGGTAATCTGAATATAACATCAAAGGCTCAGATAATAAGTCTGCTGAACTCAGGTCCAGTCATGAGCTGCACCTCTGACATTCCAAGACCTGTCTGAGCAGACTGAGGAAGTCCTCTGGATGGGGGACGAAACGTTTCTCCCTTAAAGAAACTGGTCCAGGTGACAATTTAACCTTTTTTGTTGTTATCTACCTGGATGAATGAACACTTTTTCAGAAGCACTTTGGCCTTGGTGTCCTCAGGCTGTTTCTGGGAGCAGCAAGTCGACCATCTGGCCTAAAACATCTGATTGTTATACATGATGATTGACTGGGTTGGATGGGAGTGTTTTGCACGTGTTATTTTTGAGATTCCAACAGGAGGTTGGCTTGAACCACAGCAGTGAAGGCTACCTATGGGACACATCTGGTTGGCAGGCCGTAGACTGAGGAAGTCCTCTGGATGGGGGACGAAACATTTCTCACTTAAAGATGTCCAGATGACATGATTTAACCTTTTTTGTTGTTGATAGAAAATATTTTAAAAGCTGAACTGTGTCCTTATGAAGAATTATTGTAGCCTCTCAGCTGTGACCTCTTATTTTAATGTTTGATGGAGAAATGGTGGGAAAATCCTCCTAATCCTGTTTTTTACATGAACTAAATCATCTGTATAAACTTGTGGGTGACCGTGATCTGAACCCAAATATAAATCCAAATGATTTATAACTCAAACTGAATGTAACAAAGTCCATGCTCAATAATCCAGGTCAGTCAGGTCATCTGGACAGGGTTTTTTTTTTGGTGCTGAAACGTTTCACCTTTGATCCGGAAGGCTTCTTCAGTCAAGGAAACACACAACAAAACTGATTCTTCCCCCAACAGCTTACTCCAAAGTGGAACAAACCAGTTCTGCTTGTGATAAGATGGTCTCTTTGGTATGCCCCCTCCTCCATTGCCGGCCCTCTTCCTTGTTGACAGTCGTGTAAGCAGTTGGGGGAAGAAATGTTAGTTGTTAATACATTTCCATTTGCTTCCATAGGCAACACGCCTGTTAAATCCATCCATCCATTATCTTTACCCGCTTATTCCATTTTGGGTCACGGGGGTCGCCAGTGTCCATGTCCAGCAATCACTGTGTGAGGGGCGGGGGACACCCTGGACAGGTCGCAAGTCCATCACAGGGACACATGGAGACAAACAACCATTCACTCTCTGTCTCTCACCTAGGGACAATTTAGAGTTACCAATCAGCCTAACATGCATGTTTTTGGTCTGTGGGAGGAAACCGGAGCACCCGGAGAAAACCCACGCTTGCACGGAGAGAACATGCAAACTCCACCCAGAAAGGCCCCTGGACCGGGGTTTGAACCAGGGACCTGCTCGCTGAGAGGCAGCAGCTCTACCAGCTGCACCACCGTGCTGCCTGCCTGTTAAATCTATAACTTAACATATAGGCTTTCCAGGCCGGTGTTGTGTCAAAGTGTGTTCCCCTGTCAAGAACTGTTCCTCCCGCTGAAGCTTGCAGCCATCAGGCTTGAATGTTGAGTGCTGCTTTTCAGCCAGCATGCTGTGTTCACCCGCCTGAAATGGACAATAAGATCATTATATTTTTCTTTAAGCGTGTTTCTAATTGTTTAAAACACCAGTGTTTAAGGGGAACATAGATATGAAGGGGAATCCAATTTTTACACAACACCAGGAATAACCGAGGGAAGTGACTACTTCCGGGGCGGAGTCTGTGACAACCAATCATTCGCTTCCTCACGTGTGTCACCCGCCAAAATGAAAAGAAGAGCGCGCTGTCGGCGGCAGCAGTGTTGCCAAGTCCGCTTATTATAAGCGACTTGTTTTTTTCTAAAGTCGCTCGCAAATGTTGTGAGTCGCGGTTTGCGGTATGTTGGGCTTGTTTTTGTACATGAAGCCGCTTATTTGGGCTTGACTTTATTTCCGAGTGAAACTAGTTGATTATCTCCCATCTCCGCACAATAAAGCAAAAGACGAGTGGCAGGTAGATTGTCCCATCTTCGCCCCCGTCTCCTGTTTTTTTATTTTTATTTTATTTATTTTTTATTAATAACACACAGAACTACAGAACACTACAAAAGAGAAAGATATATACAAACAGTCGTGAAGGGTGTCAGAACTACAGTTTACAAGCTAGGGGGGGTTACAAAATGATAAAAATTGAGTAATACATATATAAAAAACATTAAATGAAAAGAATAAACATAAGAAACAAAAAGGAGCAAAACAATATGAGAAACTTAAAACAACAAGTTTTTAGATATCTGTTGTGAAATGGTTCTAGCAGTTTTCCAGTTTTTAATCTACTTGTTGAAGAATAGTACAACTTGAATTAGTTCATAGAACAGGGGACGGAGGGCTGAGTGTCCCTCCACTTACTACAATGAACGTGGTACTTTGCTGTGAGGATGACTATATTTACAGCATCACAGGAAGCTGAGCTTAAATTATCCATATAAAATAAAATGGCATCAGCATCAAAGGGAGGAATGTTCAGGTTTAGAT